GCGCTCACCTGCAGAGTAGGAATAGCAGAGAAGTGTGAGGCATGTCTGAGAACTGGCTAATTCCACTTGCTGCCTACAAATGGCTTATGAGGAGGAAGAATGATTTCTTCCCTTTTTGGAGGATGGTTTGGAGCCTCTCAATGCAACAGCGGCCTGGGGCGACGCCTGGTGGTCATTGTGGCCACTTGTAATCTGCCATCCTCCTACTCTTGATTCCTTTGTTTGTAAAATATCTTTGTTCTCTGGGTGTTTTAAATTTTTCCTCTTTATCATCGGTTTTGAGCAATTTGATTATATTGTGCCTTGGTACTTTTCTTCATGTTCCTGTGCTTGGGGTTCATTGAGGTTAGGGTTTTCATCAAGTTAGGAAAGATCCAGCATTTTCTCCACTATTTCTTTTCATCCCAGCTTATGTCCCTTCTTTCTGCGACAGTCATTACATGTGTGTCAGGCCACACGAGGTTGCCCCACAGGCGCCATTGATGCTGTTAATTTATTCTCTTTTCTCTTCACATATTATTTGGGATAGTTCCTGCTGCTGTGTCTTCAACCCTTTCTTCAGCAACATCCAATCTGCTACTAATACCATTTACTGTATTTTTCAACTCAGACACTGTAATTTTTATTTCTGGAAGTTATATTTGGGTCTCTTTATGTAACCTTTGTGTCTGCACTTAACTCCTTGTTTTACCTCCTTCTTTATATTCCTGACAATTTTAGATTGGATGCCAGACATTGTAAATTTTACCTTGTTGAGTGTTGGGCATTTTGTATTCTTGTAAATATTCTTGAGCTTTGCTCTGGGACACAGTGGCCAGGAAACATTTGGATCCTTTCAGATCTGTTTCTGATATGTTAGGTGGGGTTTGAGCAGTGATCAGTCTGGGGTGAGCTATAACTCACTCCCGAGGCAAGACCCTTCTGCGTACTCTTCCAACTGTTCCATGAACCAGGAGTTTTTCCAGTGTGGCTGCTGGTAACCGACACCACTCTCTGCCTCGTGCAACCATGGCAGTGTGACCCTTTTGGACAGTTCTTTCCCTGGCTTTGGGTTGTTTCTGCACACACACATATGCGGATCAGTTCTCTACTGAACACTTGAGGGGGAGTGGCTGCAGGTTCCCAAGTCCTCTCTGTAAATTTCTCCCCACCTGTACTCTGCCCTGGGACTTCCAGCCCCCTTGCTCTGCGTGGGATCCCCCTCCCTGCCCTGCAGCCTGAAGACACTAGCAGTGGTGAGATGAGGAAACTGTAAGGGCTCAGCCCGTTGGTTTCTCGTCTCTCAGGAGTCACTGAGCTCTGTTGCACAATGTCCAGGTTCTGAGAACTGTTGCCTCACATATTAGTCCATTTCTTGGTTGTCTCAGGCATGAGAGCAAGTTCAGTCCATCTTGGTCAGAGTTTCAGAGTTTCTTGGCACATTTCAGTTAGAGATGATGAAAAAAATTCTGGAGATGAATAGTGGTGATGGTTGCACAACAACAAGAAATGTACTTAATGCCATTGAACTGTATACTTAAAAGTGGCTAAAATGGTAAATTTTATGTTATCTATATATTACCACAATAAAAAACATTTTTTTAAAGGGCTATCTTAACTAAAGGAAGTCTTCATACTGCACTTTGAAGATAACAACACAACCCACTGCATGCAGCTCCAGCCACAAGTACCCAGGTACACCCTGACCTCAGGCCTCTGCACGACCTTCCCTTTGCCTTGGGACTCCTCCTCCAGATATGCCAACCACGAGCGGCCCACACATCCCCCAACCCAAGCCCATACCCTTCAGTTATTCTTCCCAACACCTGTTAGAGACACCCCCCAGCCCCCCATGGTGTGCATCCCACTCACGGAACAAGGCATACAAGCTCATCCAATTCTGGGTGTGTCTGGTGGCCTTTGGCAGGGCACTGACACCTCCATTTGACAGACAGGGAAACTGAGTGGATTGGATGTTGTCAGGAAGCAGGGACATCTCAATAAGTGATTATCTGTTAGAAGGGCAGGGCAGAGGGAGGCCCATCTGTAACTGATGAAAGAGCAGGGGTCGCTGCTATTGGCTGGAAGAGAGCTTGTCTGAGTTTCTGTGGGTGACTCAGGGAGCTTGTTTTGGTCTGTGCTTGGGCACGATTATGACATTTTGTCTCACTGTATCACAATGGAGTGCCTCTGCAAGATGGTCCATGTCCAACAGGAGAATCCATGGCCTTGCTGTGAGCGCCAGGCCAGCTCCCAATGTCAGAGACTGCTCTTCTCATTCTCAGAGATCATATTAGTATCTACGTTACGGAAATAACCCATGTAAAGTGCTTACTGTGACACTCTACAAAGATTAATACTGATGGTATATGGATGGTGGAGCTGACATGGGGGGTGGGGGAAATCACCTTGGAGAGGCAAGCAGATGGGTCTTAAGGGAAGGTCTAGAGGCCTGATGTGATCAGACCGTGCTTTAGGAAGACCATTTGGCAGAGCCCAGGGAGGGAGGGGTGGTGAGAGGGTACGCAGGTCAGTGAAGACGTTATCCTGGTGAGAGGTGAGAGATACAGGGATTAGACAGGGTGGAGTATATGGAGGGTGTAGACAGTGGGGAGAGGGCCAAGGATGGCTCTAGGACCTCTGTAATTTGAAACTGTCACAGATAAGCAAAGGTACGCAGGTAGGAAGGACTCTGAGAGTCAGTGTCAAGGTCAGGAGATTGGTGGCAAGCCCTTTCCTCCACAGCAGCAGTGCTTGTAGCTGTTTGTAGATGGGGTGGCTTCTAAGACTGTGTTCAAAGAAAGGGTTCTGTTGCTAAAAGGTCATATGGAAAACCACAGGTGAGGTTGGGCTGAAGCGAAAGGAAGACTGGGGTAGAATTTCACAAAGTTTACTGGGTAGGCCGGGCAGGCAGTTCACAAAGGGACATGTGGCATGCAGGTGGCAGAAGGGCACAGGTCCCAGGCTGACTGGGGCTGGTGAGGGGAGGCAGCATCGAGGACCTGGACACAGAACCACAAGGTCACTTTTGAGATGCAGAATGATCTTGACTGATGTCCAGCGAAGGTATCTCAGACTGTTCTCACACGGAGGGCAGCCTGAGCAGGGGCCATGTGCCTGGTCAACATCTAAAGCATGATGCTGTCGAGCACAACTTCCCTGTTTTGAGATCGGGTCCAACTTCAACCCTCAGGGGCTTGGCCTCCTATGTGGCGTCCCACAAGGCACCGAGGCTTAGGTTGGTCTGCTTCACTAGGACAACCCTGACTCACCTCGAGACAAACAAAGCAGACACACTCCTACTCTGCACTCTGTGTGGGACACACATGTGAGTGCACACACACCTTGGCTCCTCCAGGTCTGTAGGATCTGCAACCACATCCTCTTGCCACCCCGCACATCACCCACCCAGCAGTGTTCTCCTCCTAGAGGTAGGGTTCTCCTCCTTCCTCCCGTGGAGTCAGGAAGTTCATATCTGCATAACGTTCCTTTTTATATTATTCCTATTCATATTATTCAAAAACAGTTCTCTTTGCTAGGACCCAAAGAAATTGTACGAGTCCGCCCCCTTGCCCAAACTCCATCATCTTCTAGGAACGAAAACCTTGAGAATCCACGATGGTGGGTCTTTGTGTCGTTTGAGATGTCTCCAATTGTCTGTTATGGAGACTACTATGGGTTCACGGTTCACTTTGTGGGGCAGAGCTTAGATGGGGTCTACTCGAACTCCGTGTTTCTCTGCTGAGGCCCGGAAGCGAGGTGCAGCGTCTGCCCAGACTCAGGTGTAGGAGGTGGCAGCCTACTGAAGCCGAGTAGGGGTGGGCGGCTGCTTGCTACGGCTTCCTTTCAGATGTGTACAGGGCGGTGGGTCCTGCCCACTTCCGCTCTCCCTGGTCTGCAGCCACTGGACCCTCTCTTGGCACGGTTGGATCCTTCTTGTCCTACGCACCTTAGCTCGAATGTCCCTTCCGTGTCACCCAAGCCAGAGTAGCCACTGCCCTGAGTTACTGTCCATCACACAGGGTTTTCGTAACCCTCCCTCGCTTGGTCCCGGCTCTGGGTGGTGCGTGGAAGTCATAACCCTCACCTGCTGCTGTTATTTGACCCCTGCCCCTCCAATACCCCCGAAGAGTGCAGGGCCGGCCCTGCGTCTCCGTCCTTTCACGCGCCTCGCGGTCAGTCCGCGGTGGGGGGGGGGGGGGCGGGGGAGTCGCGGGCAGGGACCTCACCGGGGCCCACCAGCAGCGCCGTTGCCCCTTTAAGCGCCAGGCCCGGGCGCACGCGCAGTCAGGCCGTTGCGCGCACAGGCGCAGTGGGGCGGCGGATGTTTACGGCGGCAGAGGTCGGGGAGGCGCAGCCGGGCCGCGGACGGGCGAGGGGCGCCCGAGGAGCTCCAGGTCGCGGCTTAGGCAGCCCGATCTCGCGGGCCGGCCGAGCCCGGAGGTAGAGCCGCCACCGCCGCCGCCCTCGGCCCAGCCTTTGGCGGGCGGCGGCGTCTCCCCACGGACCCCTCCCTCCTGTCTACCCTCCCTTCCCCCGGTCCCCAGCGCCTGGACCCTTCCTCCGGGGGGCGTCCCCCCCCGTTCCGGCGTCCTCCCATCCTCTCCCCGCCTAACCCCCCTCATTTCCCCCCCCCGCCGGCGCCCCCCCCCCCCGCCCCCCCTGGCGTTCCCCCTTCCTCCCTTCTCCCCACCAGCGTTCCTCAGCCCTCCCCCCGCGTCTCCCCCTCCCGCCCCCGGGGTTCCCCCTCCTGCGTCTCTCCCCCCAATCCCCCAACCCACCCAGGGCGCCTCTCCTCCAAGAACGTGTCCCCTTTCCCCTGCTGCGCTCCGCTGGGGGGTTGTCCCGGGTGCGCCCTGTGGTTTGCCCTCCAGCGTTCCAGAGCCTCCCGGAGGTCTCTCTTCTAGTGCCCGTTGCTTGCACCCTTGGATGTACTTGACTCTACAGACATGCAGTTTGTCCCTAGCTTACTAAGTAGGAAACGTTTGCAGTTCTGAGGCAAGTCAAGACTTATCAACGTTTAAAACAAATTCTACCTTGGACCTTTTCAGAAGGTGACAGTCTAGGGGCACCCGGCTGACTCAGTCGGGTGATCAGTCTTGATCTTGGGGTTGTGAGTTCAAGCCCCATGTTGAATGTAGAGATTACTCTCTAAACGAACAAACAAACAAAAAGAACCATAAAGATATTTGCCCTTCCAAGCCTTGGGGATATTAAGAATTGGCACAGAACCCTGGGACTTAACTTCAGGCGTCTGAAAAAGGTCTATAGTTGGGGAAGAAGAACTTGGCTGGGCTTGGTGCCCGTGTTCCGTTTTTTTCCGTGGGATGTGCCTCCCAAGTTGATGTGTGCTCTAGCGTTTCCCCTCAAAAAAGTTACCTAAATCTTTGCCTATCCCGTTTGTTCATCACGAGCCTGTAATAGTTTTCTTCTTTCTTTTGGCAGAGGAGTGGCCGAAGTAAACAACTCCGTTTTGGGTGTTGAGTAGACTGTCAATCGAGAATTAGTGAAGCCAGGTTTCTGCAAACAACTCAGAACTTGTGGCTGGGCTTGGTGAAGTAGAGCTTTAGCGGTGGAATGAGAGGGGACCTCTGAGGTGATGGGGTCAGTGCCTAGGCCTCCTGGCCCCACCTCAGCTTGTACCTAACCTGGGACATCCCTGGGGGTGACAGGCTGTCGAGGTTCTAAGAACAGTTCAGTATTTGGAATTCTAGTTGTTAGAAAGCTTTTCTGTGTTTAGTAGAAATTATTTTCATCTAATGTGTTCCACGGATCCAGCTTTTATCAGCTCCAGGAATAGTATATACATGGCAGCCTTTCAAGTATTTGAAAAAAATCCCTCTATATGTATTCCTAGCAAGTGTTCTAGTTTTTAAGATAAGTGTTTCTTTCATTATTCTGCCAGCAGGAGGTGTGGTTTGGTTCTGTTTTCTTTTAACCAATGTGGTTGGACCGGCCCCTGTGGTTATTATGATTGCAAGACACCTTTCAGCAACAACCATCAGGAAACTGAAAAAAATAAAGGTTTATTACTTACAGAACCTGGAAATTTTATAGCATACCTGGGGCCACACAGTGAGACGGGGAAGAGAGAGCTCTAGGGAGCACAGGCCTGGGTTTCTGCTTGTATTGGGGTTGAGTGTGGGAGCCTAGGACTTCTCAGGCTTGCTCTTTATTGGGGAATATAAAACAAAAGAGGGAATGTAAAGCATGGGAAGAGAAAAGACAAGTGGCCCTAAAGGTCTGTTAGGGAAATCAACTAAGATCTGATCTCAAACAAAGGCCTGGTTCTTCATGGAGTTGAGTGACAGGAGGCAAAGTGTATATTCCTCACCAATCAAAACTTAAGTCAGGCCCTTGCATTACAAAAAAGACAAACCTTTCAGGGCTGACACCACAGGGTCCTTTCCCCCAGCTCTTTTTCCACATAAAATTACCTTGTCCATATTTCCATTAAGAAGTGATATCAGGTTGGAATATGGCCCTCCATGTGGAGTCTGACAAACCCAGTGTAGATTGGAACTGCACACCCCCATTATCATGGCCTCAGGCTGTGTTGACCCAGCTATGGTCTCCTTGGCTGTCCGTCATGAGACCCTCCCATGCCTGTTGCTGCTTAGCTGTCTTCCTCACTGTGCTCTGGCAGTTGGTTTTGGAGCATTATGAGACTAAGGAGGTCCTGTTGGCGTTACCCCAGAGTAGTGACCTATATTGGGGATTGCAAAGTATAATCAAGTACAGCATCCAGAAATGATTTCTCCTTACTTTGAACAATTGGATTTGACTAGATTATAGGTCCATATTTGGTTTGGCAAGGATATCTTTGAATCTCTTGTTGGTGTTTTTGGGTGGTCTTATGACCAGTCACAGGGGTGGTCAGGAATAAGCAGTGATTGTATCCACTGTGAGGGAGTGGTAGATGACCAGACAAAGTTAATATTCTCAACCCTGTAGATGGTCACACGCATCCTACCAGCGGCAACAGGGGGTTACCGCATAGTTATGTAGCCTGTCATTTGGGGCAAAGATTACCAACATGTTGTGTTAAAGAATGTTTTCCCTTTGAGAATTTGAGGACATAAGCCTTTGGCTAGACAGTCCTGGGTTTGAATTCTAGCCGCCTCTTCATGCACTGGTGTGTGATCTTGAGCAAAATAGCTGCTCGGTCCCAATTTGTCTCAGTATGTTGTGAAGTTAACATGAACTCCTGTGACTGGCGGGTGGTGCCTGTAAAGATTGTAGCTCTTTTTACTAAAATGCTAGCTTTTGTATATGAATAAGCTTTCAGAGTGAGGCGAAGTTGGAAATAAGTGATAGATTACATAGTAGAAAATAAAATGTGTCCAATATCTAGTTAGTGTTTGCTTTCTGAAGTTAGAATGATGGTATTGAGCTAGAATGGTAGAACATTAGGAACAGAATTAGATCCACCATGAAAGATGCGTGGTTTCCAGCCCTTTTCCTAAATAGACCTTTAGGCAGCAAACGCAACTCCACTTTTAAGCAGTGACCTAAATTATAAGATGACTGTCCTAGACTTGGGATGTAGACTGTAGCCTCAGAACTAAGTGGCTTATTGAAGATTAAACTTGACCTCATTAGCACTTTATCCAGTCGGCTAAGTTCACTGACTGTGGACCATAACCTTACAAGGGCTCCAAAACATCTTGAAATGGCGTGAAAAGCTAGTAATTGGACCATCCTGGTGATGTGGAAAGTATAATATACAGCTCTAAAATCTTGATGATGAAGATGAACTGTTCCAACCGTGAAATGTTAGAGCATTTGTACTAAGCCCTATGTTTTACATATTTTGTGTATTTGTTGTGAGAGCTGAAGATTTATCATGTGTTCATTTATTTTTATTCCTGGGCAAACCTCTCCCACCACAATTGCCAGTAGTGTGCACGGGATATGTGTACGGAATCTCTTCCCTCAGTATTTATGCTTCTCATTCTGCTGTTAGAAATCCAGAGGATTGTGAGGGGGAAAGCAAGGATAAACTTTGTAATAATAAATGTAGTAAAATATGTAAAAATAATATAGTATGTTATTATGGAATTTGTCCTGAATCAGAAAATGTATCAGTCTTTGTGAAGTCTGGTGTTTTTTGTTTTTTCCCAACAATTTACATCAGATGTTTTGTAAAACATTACCATTTTATGTGAAGTAAAATCATTCTTTCCGAAAGAGTTACATGGGGTAGGTATAAAATTGGAGAAGATATTTTTATGGTCATGAAGATGAGGTCCATGTGAATTAGGTGGAGGCACATTGTATGTTAGCAGGTGGCTCAGAAGGGTTCACACTGTTGCTTTTTCTTCTTGAAAGCAGTTGGGAAGAAGGTAAGCAATGTACCTTTTATTGTTAAAGAGGTAGAAAGGTTGTGTAACATATACTTCCAAAGGGAGTGTAGGAGTTCTTGGAGCAGCTGTAGCCTGAAAACAGATTTTGTATTTGTTACAATAAAATGTCCTATCGTGTAAGAGTTTTGTTAGTGGTATTTTTGCCTGAAATTTGTACATCCGAATATCCAAATGAACGGATTGAATGGATTCCTTGACCCGATGTGTATGTGGGGGTGTAGAGTTGTTGGATAAAATTTAGAACACCAGTTAATTTTGAATTTCAAATAAACAATAACTTTATAGTATTTGTTTATCTTTATTTGATTTTTTTGCTTTTAAAGATTTATTTATCAAAAATAATCTGTAGCGCTTGAAATATTCAAAGAGAAGTTGATATTAGTGTGATTTTCTAGACATATCTGTATTCTTTTTATGCTTATATCCATTGACTTTGCCATATGTGAATATATCCCTGTTAAGGCAGATAATTTCAATCCTAAATACCCGATTTTGTAGATTGACGACTTAAAGTAAAATACTGAGTTCCTACTTTAATGATGTTTTCAGTTGTCAAATACACATTAGGTACCTCAAGTTCATTTGAATTCATTTGATATTGTAAATTACAAACTTCTGGATGGGTATAATGGAATTCCATATTTAACTTTTTTTTTTCCTTCTGAATTTAGCGGGGGTGGGGTGGGGTAGGTGGGTGCTGACCAAATATATTCCATCTGTGGTATTTTCAGAATTCAGAATTTGAAATTGGCATGTTATTAGAACTTTAACTCTTGTGCTCTTACCTTTAATGTAAATAGCTCTTTAAAAACATTTTTAATTGCAGTGTTGCCTAAGAGAGATCTTGAAGATGGGAGGTGCTGTGAGTGCTGGTGAAGACAATGATGAGCTAATAGACAATTTGAAAGAAGCACAGTACATCCGGACTGAGCTGGTCGAGCAGGCTTTCCGAGCTATTGATCGTGCAGATTATTATCTTGAAGAATTTAAAGAAAATGCTTATAAAGACCTGGCTTGGAAGCATGGCAACATCCACCTCTCGGCTCCGTGCATCTACTCGGAAGTGATGGAGGCCCTGGACCTGCAGCCGGGGCTCTCCTTCTTGAACCTGGGCAGCGGCACTGGCTACCTCAGCTCCATGGTGGGGCTCATTCTAGGTAAGTCTGGACAGAGTGGGGCAGAGCACCATCTGTCTCATGGTGCAGGAGAAGAGAGTCTGCTGGCAGTGTCGTCTGATTGCCTTCTGAGCAGTTGTCCGCTGTGGTTTATACATAGTCATTGGGTGGGCTGGTGAAGGGAGGGCTCCAAGTTTTCTGGAGGGACCCCTTCTGTTCCCTACCCCCTCCCACCTGTACCTCCACTGTCTGCTCAGCACACCCTCCTTCTGGATAACAGAGGACCAAGAGGGTTGTGTAAATCGGAGCCTTACAGTGATTTCTTGTTTAATACGATCACCCGGCCTGCTTTGTCACTCTGTCTATAAACTGAGACTGAAGTTAAAGTTCTTCCAAGCAGTTTTGGTTTGTTTTGTTTTAATGCTCGAAGAGTTAATGCCTGCAAATTGTTCTTTGTAAATGAATTCCAGGGATGGGAAGGATTTCACAGGTTTTGTCTCTTTTCCCAAATAAGTTGTGAGACTACACATGGGGATTGGCATTTTTGTTATTGAAACAACAGTATCAGATAATTGAGGGTTTAGGTGTCTGTTTTTACTCTGAGATAGAACAGTTTTGCCAGAGGAGTAACAGGGGCTGACCTGTCCTTTTAAAAATTTCTCTGAAGAGGAAGTAGGGCTGGGGCTGCTGTAGCATCTGTGAGGGAGGGTGGCATCCAGACTACAGGTGCACCACAACATTGTTTCCTTGTGGTTGTTACAGAAAATCTTAGCAGTGACAGTTGATTTTTGTGGGTATGGAATGAAATTTTTGGTTCTTTATAAGTTCATAGACTTCGGAATTTGGTGAAGTTTTGAGACTGATCATTTAACTTAGGCTATAGATTGCTATCCTCAGATTTTTAGGTTTGTTTTTTAAAGCTAAAAGCTTTTTGAACTTAATTTGTTTCGGATTAAGACTGCTTTGTGAAGAGCCCAGGTGATGTATCATTCTGGAATTAGTGAAAGGTAATTCAGTGGAGCAGAGAAATTGGGGGAGCTAAGGATGAGATGCTCTTGGCAGAGAGGGGGGGATAGGATATCAAATTGACTAGGTTAGAAATGCTTTTGAAAAGAACTGAGATGCTCAGTTCTTACAGTAAGCCTGAGGTGACCTGTTGCACTTGACATTCCCTAGAAATTATAAACAGCTTCTCTTCTCTGAGTCCCCTGTTTGCTGGGAATGTAATTAAACGGTGGGGTGGGGAGAGATCTAAAGGAAGGGAAGCTTTTTTGGGGGTTGCAGTGGATACTTTGTACTGCTGTGATGTATTTGAAGGAGGTGAATGGAGAGTTTCCTTTCACGGATAGACATCTTGCATTTGCAGGGAGGAGGCTGCACGCACTGGCTGATATCTCTGGATACCACGTGTTCTGGGCCTCCCTTTCCAGTTTACTCAGCCTTTAATGTTGTTTCATGCACATCACTCCAGAGCTGAAGACCATTTTGGCTTCCCATTGCCTGCAGATGGGAGGTCTGGAGTCTTTCATCTGACTCTTTTTTAAACCCAACTGCCTTTCTGCCTGGCCCTGAACTTTATCCCTTTTCTGCTGCACTCCTCTGCAGCTAACCTGAAGTGCTGTGTGATTAGGGAGTGGAGTGCCCTCCTGCAGCGGGGGAAGGGGGGGGCTTGCGGTCTGGCTTCAGTGCCATGCCCTTGATGTCTCAGTCCTGACTCCTCCCGTGCCCTCCCTCCCCTCTTAGTCATCTTTTTATTGGGGTGAGTCAGGGGCTCTGTGTTATTACTGTATTTGGTGTTAAGCTTCTTGGGGGTAGGAACTATGTCCTGGATCCTTTATGAGAATTAACTGCTTAATAGGTTTTGATAAAGAGTGAGGGGCTAATGAAACTATGATGAGTGGGAAAGTAAAGGTTTTCTTGGTTTCTGGCACGTGCTGCTAGCCAGAGGGCAGTGGGATGGAAGTCAGTGACTTGGCAGAGGGTCTTGAAATTAGATAATTTGGAATTGATGTTGTAAATAGTGAAAATGTGACTTCTCAGGTAGGGTGTGTTTTAATGAGAATGTTTTAGCAGCAGCATATGTTGAGAGAAGAGAGCCCCAGGTGAGCTGTCCAGGTCGAGGAGAGGGAAGCCTTGGCCTGGGGTGGGTGTCGTGCTGTCAGGGGACCAGGTAAGCCCAAGTGCAAAATATCAAGATGTGGGTACCCAGATGGTTGCTTATTTTCCAGTATTTCTGTTGGACTGTAGGGTTAAGTGCTGCACTGTGACTTCAGTATATCTGTCTAGTAAATAAAGTTTTACATGCCCTGTTGATTTTCACATGGAGACATTTAAAAAAATGGCTGTGTAAGTTAACCTGTAGTAAATGAACAAGTTTGAGGTGTGGAGCTTGGTGAATTTTTATGTAAGTATTCACCTTCATGCAGGCACCACCCAGAACAAGGTACGGAGTAGAACCAGCACCCCAGAAGCTCTCATGCTGTCCCTCCCCCTCCAGAAAGGAGAGCACCCTTTTGTTCTCCATCGTCACAAATAAGTGTTGCCTGTTTTTGACCTTCATATAAATGAATTCCCACAGCAAAGAGAATCACCTAAGCTGTCTGTGTCAATAGATCTCATCTAAAGGCAGCTTTATACAGAGGGAACACCTTTATTGTTAAGTGGGCTTGTAACTTTTCTTACAGCTTTATTTCCAATTATTGATAAATTTCCTTGGATATAAAAAATGTTTCATTGTGACTTGGTTATAGTTTTATTTGTTTATTTTGTTTGAGAGAGAGAGCACATGCACGTGTATGAGTGGGGGAAGGGGCAGGGGTAGAGGATGCGAGAGAATCTGCAGCGGACTCCATGCTGAGCACAGAGCCTGACTTGGGGCTCAGTCCCATGACCCTGAGATGATGACCTGAGCTGAAATTAAGAGTCGGACATTCAACCGACTGAGCCACTCAGGCACCACTGTTAAAAACAGTTTTCTTTTAATGAGGATTGAAAGCTATTTGTGTCCATGTCTGAGTGTTTGGGCGACCTTTTGGAACACAGTCTTGAGTCCAGTTTCATTTGGAAATAACGTTTTTCTTTTTTAATTCATTAGTGAGATCTTGAATTCTTGGTTGCAGATCTTGGCCTTTTTTACATCTTTGAGAGCAGAGCGACCCAGGCTTTAGAAAGCTGTGACATGGGTAGTGTCAAAGAAACAAGTATTTACAATGTGGTGAGCATAGTCTACCCTGCATATTTAAAGATTAGCTTGGGTGATTTAGGTCCAATAATGTGATAAGACCTCAAAACCTTGTGAATTTCTTCATGTAACTATACATGCTAAATCTGGTGCATTGTAGTTGATAAAATAAAGAGTAAGAGTTCTTGCGCTAGTTCTAAAAGTTTTCTTATTCTGGAACATTTTAGGTCCTTTTGGTGTGAACCATGGAGTTGAACTCCATTCGGATGTAATAGAATATGCAAAGCAGAAGCTGGACTTCTTCATTAGAACCAGTGACAGCTTTGACAAGTAAGATCAAATACTACCCTTGGGTTGCTGTGTGAAATATAATTTAAACTTTTGATTAGATGGGAGACATAAGTTCATTAGCGTTCATATACCAGCAAACATGATTCAACTTTGGGAGGAGAATCAGGGGTATGTGCATAGTTGTTCTAATTATTTTTTAAATATTTTGTGCTTTTGAGGGCTTTAGGTTTTTTAACTATATACCAGGGAAAGGTAATTTTTCACCAATATAATAAGAGAAGGAAATAGAATGTTCATTTTGCCCAGTTTTCATGTTTCCAACACAGATAACAATTTATCACCTAATGGTTTCTAAAACAGAATTGTTGCATTTGTCTTTAAATAGTATATATAACTACCTCTTGCCATTTTTTTTTAAAAAGATTTTATTTATTTATTTGACAGAGAAATAGCGAGAGCAGGAACACAGGCAGGGGGAGTGGGAGAGGGAGAAGCAGGCTTCCCGCCAAGCAGGGAGCCCGATGCGGGGCTCGATCCCAGAACCCTGGGATCATGACCTGAGCTGAAGGCAGACGCTTAACCGACTGAGCCACCCAGGCGCCCCTCTCTTTCCATTTTTAAATAAGGCATTAAAGTTCTTACTTTAGGGTTTAACATTTTTAGAAACACCAGATGTAGTTTTCTTTCATTTTACTTGTTTTTATATTTTATTTTTTTAAAGATTTATTTATTTGAGAGAGAGAGAGAGAGAGAGCGTGTGCATGTGCACACAAGTGTGGGGGAGGGTCAGAGGGAGAGGGAATCTCAGGCGGACTCCACGCTGAGTGTGGAGCCTGATGAGAACTGGGCTCAATCTCACGACCCTGAGATCATGACCCGAGCTGAAACCAAGAGTGGGACATTTAACCGACGGAACCACACAGGTGCCCCTCATTTCACTTGGTTTTAGTAGATTTTTTTTTTTTAAGATTTCATTCTTTTCTTTTTTTTTTAAGATTTTATTTATTTATTTGAGAGAGAGAGAATGAGAGATAGAGAGCACGAGAGGGAAGAGGGTCAGAGGGAGAAGCAGACTCCCTGCTGAGCAGGGAGCCCGATGTGGGACTCGATTCCGGGGCTCCAGGATCATGACCTGAGCCGAAGGCAGTCGCTTAACCAACTGAGCCACCCAGGCGCCCGGTTTTAGTAGATCTTAAATAAGGTAATGTTTTCTAAAAACAGAGCAAAGACAGTGATGATTGGAGGTTAGATGATTTAAGTCTATATTATGTTTATGACATTCACTTTCATAATATTTTGTTTGGAATTTCTAGGGTTCTGTTTATGAATAATATTCTTTTTGGAGGTCTGACTTCCATCATCTGGCTCTGTCAGTTGTATTATGTCATTATAAGGTTGTTCAAGGAAAACATAACCTGTGGTTAGTGTAGACTTACTATAGAGACTTGCTATAATGTGATATATTCAGTTACAGAAAACATTTTTTGCTTTTAGATTTGACTTCTGTGAACCTTCCTTTGTTACTGGCAATTGCCTGGAGATTTCTCCAGATTGTTCTCAGTACGATCGTGTGTACTGTGGGGCTGGTGTGCAGAAAGAGCATGAAGAGTACATGAAGAGTCTTCTCAAAGTAGGGGGCATCCTTGTCATGCCACTGGAAGAGAAGGTCAGACCCCTCTCCTAACTGACATGCTTAACTGTTGGCCAAAGTCTGTTCCAAGAAGTTTCCATATATTTTTCCTTGTATTCCTCATGACAACTCCTTCTGTTTCACAAATGAGGACACAGGCAGGGACAGGTCATAAAGACAGCCTAGCTTGGGCCAGGGCCTGACTCAGGTAGGCACCTAGAGCCTGCACTGTAAGCCCTTACCCTCATCTCCATCTGTCTCCTCCTCTCTCCCACCTCCCCCCCCTCCTCCACAGCTATTCCAGTATGCTTATTCTGTTGTTAGAATTATTTGTAAAAATCATTAGAGTAGTTGTCTTCTAATTGTTAAATTCTGTGACTGCGAGCATTATACAGGAATCCCTTCCTTAGGTGGAATCTTGGCTCAGTCTGTTGTTGGGTCGTGCATGTTTCTGTACATTGTAGCTGTTTGTGCTTCATTGAGAAAAACAAGTTGTAATAAACAAGCAGATTAATCAAACCTGAATTGGTCATCAGGGAGAATGTCTCAGTCACAAAGAACTAGGAAAAATGGAAATGATAAAAATTAGGAGATTGTGCATTTTTGTGCAATTTTCTGCAATTTAAATATGTTAGCATTTATTTTGTTTAAAAAGGAATCATTCATCGTTGAAAATCCAGAACATGTGAAAATTAAGAAAAATTGCTCACAGTCCTCACCTTAAGCACTGTTAGTGTATGATTCCTGTAGTTTGTATCATTGTGCATACGGTTTTATTTAATTGATGAGATGATTTTAAGCCATTTAACATTCCATATCATCCTATTGAGTGCTTACATAGTAACCTGTGGAATTGTTGACCATAGTGTATCCTCTGGCTCCTGGAAATGGACATGAGGCTGTGTGTATAGTGTATAACATTCTGTTACTTACTATTATATACAAAATGGAGTGAATATTGCTAAGTAAAACAAAATTTTTATCCATAAATATTTCAAGGTGTATCTATAAAAGATAAGGGCTGTTTTTTTAAGATGTCACAAAACCATTATCAATCTAAAAAATCACCAGTAATTTCTTAGTATTTTCAAATTGACAGCTAATATTCAAATTTTCCTGATTGTCTCAAAATTTGTTTGAATAGTTTATTTGGATCTCCACTTAAGATTTATGCCTTGTATTTGGTTGATCTTTCTCTCTCTCTCTCTCTTTTTTTTTTAAAGATTTTTTTTTTGAGTCATCTCTGCACCCAGCCTGGGGCTTAAACTCATGACCCCAAGAGCAAGAGCTGCATGCTCCACTCACTGATTGAGACAGCCTGGCACCCAGGGTTGATATACCGCTTAAGTGTTTTTTATCTGTAACTTCTTTTTTTCTTTTTTTTACTTTTTCCTTGTAGTGTACTTGTTGAAGAAATCAGGTGATTTGTCTTACAGGGTTTCCTATAGCCTGGATTTGGAGATTACATATCTCTGTGGTGATGTTTTACATATTCTTTCTGCTCCCTATTTTCATCATAAATTGTTAGTTGGATCTAAAGACTTGCTTAGTTTCCAGGTGGACTTAATTTGGCGGGGGAGGGGTGCAAGAATACTTACCGTGTGTTACAGGGTACATTCATATGTAGGCGCATCATGCCTGTGGTCTCTTTCTCCGATGGTAGCAGTGCAATTGTGGTCCTGGTCCGTTATTTCATTAAGGGTCGCAGAACCATACGTTCTGATTCCATCATTTCTCTTCATTTAGTACCTCAAATACTTTTTTCTTTTTAATTTTAATTCCAGTATAGTTAACATAGAGTGTTATATTAGCTTCAGGGGTATGATGAAGTGATTCAGCACTTCATACACCACCCAGTGCTCATCAGCGTAAGTGTACTCTTAATCCCCTCACCTGTTTCCCCCGTCGCCCTACCCACTTCCTTTTTGGTGACCTTCAGTTTGTTCTTTAAGAGTCTGTTTTTTGGTTTGTCTCTCTTTTTTTTTTTTCTATGTTCAATTGTTGTGTTTCTTAAATTCCACATATGAGTGAAATCATATGGTATTTGTCTTTCTCTGGCTTATTTTGCTTAGCATAGTACTCTCTAGTTCCATCCATGTCATTGCAAATGGCAGATTTCATTCTTCTTTATGGCCAAATAATATTCCATCGTGTATATATATGCTGTATCTTCTTTATCCATTCATCTATCCATGGACACTTGGATTGCTTCCATATCTTGGCTATTGTAAATAATGCTGCAGTAGACATCAGGGTGCACGTATCCCTTTGAATTAATGTTTTCATATTTTCTGAATAAATACTTAGTAGTGCAATGCTGAATTGTAGGGTAGCTCTATTTTTAACTTTTTGAGGACCCTCCATACTGTTTTCCAGAGTGGCTGCACCAGTTTGCATTCCCACCAGTGGCGCAGGGGGGTTCTTTTTTCTCATGTCCTCACCAGCGCTTGTTCCTGTGTTGTTGATTTTAGCCATTCTGACAGGTGTGAGGTGGTATCTCATTGTGGGTTTTTTTTTTTTTAAAGATTAGTTTATTTATTTTAGAGAGAGAGGGAGAGCATGAGTAGGATGAGCAGAGGAGAGGAAGAGAGAATCTCATGCAGACTCCGTGCTGAATGTGGGGCTTGATGCGGGGCTCCGTCTCACGACCCCGAGATCATGACCTGAGCTGAAACCAGGTGTTGGACGCTCAACCAGCTGAGCCGCCCAGGCTTTTGTGCTTTTGATTTCCATTTCCCTGATGATGAGTGATATTGAGCATCTTTTCATGTGTGTGTTTACCATCTGGATTCTTTGGAGAAATATCTGTTCATGTCTTCTGCCCATTTTTAAATTGGATTATTTGGTTTTTGGGCATTGAGTTGTATAAGTTGTTTACGTAATTTAGATACTAACCTTTTATCGGATATGTCATTTGCAAATATCTTCTCCCATTCAGTAGGTTGTCTTTTAGTTTTATTGGTGGTTTACTTTGCTGTGCAGAAGCTTTCTATTTTGATGTAGTCCCAACAGTTTATTTTTGCTTTTGTTTCCTTTGCCTCAAGGAACCTATCTGGAAGAATGTTGTTACAACCGATGTCAGGGACATTACTGCCTGTGCGTGCCCTCTTGTAGGATTTTTACGGCTTTAGGTGTCACATTAGGGCCTTAATCCATTTTATGTCTTTGTGTCGTCTTCAGTTTCTTTCATCAGTGTTTTATAAATTTCAGAGTAGAGGTGTTTCACCTCCTTTTTAAGTCTATTTCTAGATATTTCATTATTTTTGGAGCGGTTATAAATGGGGTTGTTTTCTTAATTTCTCTTTCTGCTGCATCATTGTTAGTGTATAGAAATGCAGTGGATTTCTGCACGTTGATTTTGTATCTTGCAACTTTATAGTACCTGGAATACTTACATAAAGAGAAACCCCCTCATCAGTTATTTGGTTACCCCAAGTACACTTTATAAGGAGAGGGCTGGATAAATTCTGATTCCTAAGCTTTATTTATTAGTTTCCTCAATAATCTGGTTCTCTAGCATCTCTTGAAGGTGGTGACTAATAAGTTTTTATTTGGTTTCTAGTGGTGGTGTGCATTCATGGATACAGACATACTTAAAATTTTAATCATTGTATGATTCTTACTGAAGCTTAAAATACCCCATCTTGGCCAACGGGCATCTCTTCAGTTTGGCTTCTGGGCTCTGATATACCCTCAGTAGTCTTTGATGGTTTTATTACTCTCTGGTAAGAAAAGATGTTCCACACTCATTTGGTGTATTTTTTACCACGAAGTTGGAATTAACCATTTCTGAGGATCTCTGTTAATTTTAAGTTCAGTGGGAATCGGTGTTTAGGGAACACAGGTGGGGCCTTTGTCGGAACTAACCTTTAATAATAGGTTAGTTTTTTACAGTGGAATTCTGGAACTAGGAAGCCACCCCCATACATACATATGTTTTTGTTGGTTTGGCTTTTGGACATAAAACACACCATGGGTTTATATTGGTACTTCCGGCTCAAAGTCAGGACTAGAGGGTTTTTCTGACTCCTTCCGTCTTAAATCAGCATTACCTGTGTTCCACGCCGGAAGGCCTGCTCCCTGACTGTCCTTAGATTGCCCTTTTATTCCCCTGGGGATGTACACATTCATGTGTTTGAAAGTCATTGGAAATAATGCTTCCCTGTGAGGTTATACTGCCAGGCAGACTTACAGCTCTTTTGTTTCAGTTTTTAGGAATTGCCATATTAGGTTTTATAACTTTGTTAAATATTTACAAGGTTCCAAGATCTAAATAATGAATACTCACAGAATTTTTTTCCAGGTATGTTGCCTCCACTTCATCTGTAGGTAACCACTTTGTTTTTAGTTTATCTGTTTACTCAAAAAATACATAAGCAAACCCACTTTTTTTTTTAAATTTTTTTTATTGTTATGTTAATCACCATATATTACATCATTAGTTTTTGATGCAGTGTTCCATGATTCATTGTTTGTTCATAACACCCAGTGCACCATGCAAAACGTGCCCTCCTCAATACCCGTCACCAGGCTAACCCATCCCCCCACCCCCCTACCCTCTAGAACCCTCAGTTTTTCAGAGTCCATCATCTCTCATGGTTCGTCTCCCCCTCTGACATACTCCCCTTTTCTTCCTCTCCTCAAACCCACTTTTTTCATAACTTTACTTCGGTGAAGATACGCACATTTTTTTTCCATTCCGTGTATTCATCCAGACATATGAAATAGGAATTGATAGTTTTAGGTGTTATCATTGCTTATTGTTCATTTTAAGTATTTGATATTTGGTATACGTGGAAATTCTTTTCTGTCCCAATTTTTTGTACTTAAAAATGTTTTTTGTTGGTGTGTGAAAATGTGGTTGTTTGATGGGCATTTGGGTTCTTTCCACCCTTCTGCTGTTTACAAGCAGTACTGCTGTGAAGAGGGTGTGCATAGACATGTTTGTGGATATTCTTAATCTTTGTCTACACCCAAGACCTCTTCCAGGTGCAGTCTCAAAAGCAGAAGTGCTTGATCAGAGACTCGGTATTTTAACTTTGGCCAACTGCCTTTTGGGAGAGGAGCCACCCATGCCCTTGCTGACAGCCCCACCGCTTATTGCTGTCATCATTGTGGATAGCAGGGCTACATGTCCCTATTTTTGCTCTTCTTTCTCAGGTTATTGTTTTAAATACATCTTTATTTAAATTGTTATTTCTTTTTTTAAGATTTCGTTTATTTATTTGACAGAGAGACACAGCTAGAGAGGGAACACAAGCAGGGGGAGTGGGAGAGGGAGAAGCAGGCTCCCGGCTGAGCAGGGAGCCCGATGCGGGGCTCGATCCCAGGACCCTGGGATCATGACCTGAGCTGAAGGCAGACGCTTAACGACTGAGCCACCCAGGTGCCCCAAATTGTTATTATTTTTTAAAGGATTGATTTATTTGAGAGAGAGAGAGAGAGAGAGGGCTTGTGCCGGGTGGGGGGTGGTGAGGGGGGGGGGGGGAGGGGCAGAGGGAGAGGGAGAATCCTGGAGCAGACTCGCTACTGAGTGCACCTGATCAAGGCTCTCTATCTGAAATCAAGAGTTGGCCGCTTAACCAACTGAGCCATCCAGGCACCCCTTGACTTAAATTATTTTAGAAATCTTTGTTGTATCAGAAAAATACGTCAGACCTTTTATTGGAATTGTGTTATGTGTATATTAATTTGAGGATCGTAGACATATTTTCAGTATCCATCTCCTTGTCTGGGGAACATGGAATATGGATTTATAGTTTTCCTGAACAGTTCACATGTTATTTATCGATTGTATTTAGATATTTGATGTTCATTATGACTAGAACTTCTCCTTAAAAAAATGTTTTTAAAAAGAAGTTTTTGCTGGTACACAAGAGTGTGAATGACTTGTTGATGCTTACCTAGTATGTGGCTACTTAATGCTTTCAGTTCTAAGATTCGTGATATAGAATCTTAGTTTTTAGAGGATTTGCTGGCTTACATATTTTTTTATTTTTTTATTGTTATGTTAATCAGCATACATTACATCATTAGTCCTTGATGTGGCTTACATATTTTTAGACAAGAGAGTATCTAATCTTTGCATGTCATAGCTGAGCAGAAAATAGCACTGTGACCTGCTTGAGCCTTTCAGAAACTGGCACCATCACGGAATACACAGGAGGGCCATGTTGTCTGATTAGGTTCTTCTGATGCCACTAATACTGTGATTCATAAGGAATGTTTTCATGACCTTCGCTGCAAGTCTGTGTGTCATGGCGGTGATGTCATACAGAAACTCAGTACTATAGTGAGGAGAAGCTCCGACAGAGGTGATGTGACCGTGAAACTGCAACAGTAGCTGCTGTTTGATGTGTGGTCATGTTGTTGCAAGAAGGTCTTTTTATGGTTTCTGTCCTCCGGAAAAAACAGCCTGGGATCCCGTCTAGACTGAAGCATTGCAGGTGGTCGTGAATGTCTTTAATGACTTTGACTTTAGAATGTCCCCCCCCGCCCCACTGTTGCCCTCAGCGCTGACTCTTGTGGAGAGCCCAGGGAAGTTGTCTCATCTGATTGTCTCCTCTTGGTTTGGTATCCTTTGACTTCTTTTCTCTAACAATACATATTTTTTGTAAACAGAAATATTAGGTCTAGAGGCTTTGAATATATTCAGGCAAAACATCCTTGCAAGAATAATAATTCATTACGGGTACTTCATGTCACATCACTTTAGGGGCCTCTGTTGTCAGGTTATTTCATTATCAGCATATCTGTGGGTTTTTTTTAGTTTATATGTAGGAGTGATTAAATATAAATTAACAGTAGCCAAATCTTGTGAATATTCTTGTTTTCTCTTTGGGGGCAGTTGACTAAGATAACACGAACTGGTCCTTCTGCTTGGGAAACCAAAAAGATTCTGGCAGTTTCTTTTGCTCCTCTGGTCCAGCCCTGTCATTCAGAGTCTGGAAAATCAAGACTTGTCCAGTTACGTAAGTACAAAGACCCTTATTTATCTTTTAGATCTTTTAAATAATCTCAGTAGAATTTGAAGAGAAAGACAAATTGTAAGGAATCTTTTAATATTAAAGAGCATTATTCTACCCATTGAAACCTTAAAATGTTACAAATGATTTTTAGAAATTGAAAAATCATCTGTTTTCAGCCTATTTTAGGTTATTTTTGCCTTCTTTTAAATCTGCAGGAATTAATCCTGGTCATGCCATTGAAAGCAGAAGACTCCCATGAGAGGGAGTTAATTCTGCTTTGTGGAGAGGTCTCACAGAGAGAGTGTGTTGCCAGCACCACTGAGCCAGAGGGCTCTTGCAGAGTCATGGGACCCTTTCCTCCTTGGGGCTGCCTCGTGGGCACATGCTTCAGCTGGTCTGCTGGTGTATGGTGGGAGGCTTACCATGGAGCTTTACTTGGCTAGGCCTGTGTCTTCAACTCCTTCAGGATGTAGAACCACAAAGAGCTGACATCAGGGCCAGCATTCATCCAGATACTGTTTTATAATTTAAACAGAAATTTATTTGGCAATGAGAATTGCAAATGATTTTATTTAAAATAAGACTGATAAGAGCATGGATTCTGCATTCTGATCATTGAGAAAATTTGGAAAATGCACCAAAAAGAAAAGGGGGGGGAAATAACCATAATCTCACCACCCAAAGATAATAGATATTGGCAAATGCCTTCCAGAATTTTTTTTTTTTTTAATTTGTGAGGAATCATTTATCAGATAGTCATGCTCTGCCTTGGTCTCTGCTAAGTGGAGGTCACATGCCATAGATGTGGTCCTTGAAATGGGTAAGAGCAACAGTACAATACAGAAAGGGGCTGAGAGGGGCCGGGGAGGGTTTGACAGAGGATGGGATGTTTTGGGTGAAAGTAAATTCTTTGAAGAGAGAAGAAAGGGAGAAGAAGCATGAGCAGAGGCTGATGGGGACTTTCTACATGCATGCTCCTCAGCGTGGTCCGAGTGGGGGTGTATAGGAGAAACTAGTCCACTACGTAGGTTAGACTTGTCATGGAGGCTGTGGGAGCCACCAGATGTGGGAACTAAAAGATGTGGTGCTTCTGTGTTCTCGATGACCCTGCTGGCCAGGTGGAGGGTGAATTTGTCACGTGCATGCTCCCTGGAAATCTCCCCAGGAGAAGCTAGCATTGCTCGCAGTCAGCCAGGGCGCGGCCTTCCAGAACACTGCCTGAGTGTCAGAAGGTGAGGCCGTAGTCGGTGCATCTATGAGGCTTCAATGGGGGTTTGGTTGAAGACAAGTCTCTTGGTGTGAGGACTTGACTGGGTCTGGATAAGAGTTGTGACAGCATGGAGGGCACCCTGAGATACGGGTTTTGAGGCCAGAGCTTCCAAGAGCCAATGCTGGAAAATAAATAACATGTGATATTGTTTTGGGTTCTGGAAGTGAACAGTTATTTGTAACTTTGTCTTCCTGGGCCAGAGTTTTCTAAACTAACAAAGTTGTGTCCATGGAGACGGTGGCCTCTGCAGCTGAAGGGATTCGGGGGCAGGCACGTAGGGTGTTTCTGAGGAAGGATGTGTGCCCTGAGGTGTCCAGCATCTGTTGTAGATGTGGGTCTGGGGAAGCTCAGGACCCCAGTCAGGAATGGAGCAGAGCTCTGGGAGCCGCTGCCCAGTCTTTGTTACTCGATGTCAAACCAAGGGTTGATAGGGACATGGAGTGGGGGAGATGGTAGAAATCAGCACCCGAGGGAGCACTACTAGCCGCGGTGGGGGAGGGACTGGCAGCTGAGACTTGGGCCAAGTTGGTTCCCTTCAGGTGGGACCTCAGAGAGAGCCGGAGAAGGAGTCGGTTCAGCAGACTGAGGGGCAGGGCAAGGAAAGGTGGGTGTATTGAGCAGGAAGTCATGATTATGGTGTTGTGTAGTGAGACACGGGCGTGTGCTGGAGCTTGTCCTGGACAGCAGGGAGGAGACAGTTGAACAGGAGAGGAGGCCTGGTGTGGACACAGGGGAGAAGGTGCCGAGAGCCTGGGGCCCGGGGCCTTCCTCGGGCTCCCGTGGAACAGGGAGCATTGCACGGGATTCTGCGCAGGCTGCTCTGATTTGGGTAGTAAATGTTACAGACAACCTAAGAACCCTCCCTATATTGTAGGTTGTCATCTTTTTTGGAAGAAGTTAGGTACTGGAGCCCCACATCTTCCTCTCCTGCTCTCCCTGCTTGTGCTGTCTCTGTCAAATAAATAAAATCTTAGGAAAAAATAAAGTTAGGTCCTGGAGGGAAAAAAGTGATGATGGTTTTCAGTATAATGTATTTAAACACACAACCCCGCTAATTCCTCCCCCTTTAAGAAGAACTCTCCTGTTGCCACGTGTGTACTGCCTGCATTAAACTGAGCTGGACTTTAATCTCCAGATTTTATTTTTCCTTGGTATGTTTTGGAGTTTTTGTACTTACTAAAAATGCTTTGGATTTGTTTTTCTCTAATGAAAAAGGAACAAATACTCAATTTGTAAAGTACTGTGAAAATGTAAAGATAGATAAAAGAATTCTGGAGCCTTACGTTCACTGCATGAGCTAGAACCCAGGTATGAATACAGTAAACAGAGTCATGAACCCAGGGTTTTCTTCTGCTTCTGACTGATGAGACAAACAACCTTGCTTCCTTTCCTTATATGAGTTCGGGTTCGTGTGTTTGAAAATACCATTGAGAAGGACCACATACATGCATGTCAGAGCTGTCATTGACGTTTGCTGGGAATGCTCCCCTGTGCTTGTGCTGTAAATAACGCTCGCGAATGACCGTGAGGGGACGGTTTTCCAGAGTTAGGGCCCTGTGCTGTCTGGGTCCCTCACTGACGAGGTTGACGCATCTCCTTCTTTGCTCCGCAGCGCCCCTGGCCGTGCGGAGCCTCCAGGATCTGGCTCGGATCGCCATCCGGGGCACCATTAAAAAGGTCATCCGTCAGGAGACAGTGAGCAGCGGTGGAAATGGACTGAAGAACACTCCCAGGGCCAAGCGAAGGAGAGTGCGCCGCCGTCGCATGGAAACGATCGTCTTTTTGGACAAAGAGGTATTTGCCAGTCGGATCTCCAGCCCATCGGACGACAACAGCTGTGAGGACTTGGAAGAGGAGCAGCGGGAGGAGGACCGAGCCCCGCCGCCAGACGCGAAGCCAGCCCGACCGGTGAACTTCCTACGTGAGAAGGTCCTGAGCCTCCCTCTGCCAGATCCCCTGAAATACTACCTGCTCTATTACAGAGAGAAGTAAGTCTGTGGGGGCTGAACCGAGGCGGAGCCCAAGGCTGCGCCCCATGCCCTCGCGGGGTTGCCCGGGCACATGCTGTGGGGAAGGAGAGTGCGGTCCTCTCTACCTTTTTGTGTTCAGTTTGTTCTTGGTTTTCCTCTAGAATTCCATTCATTGGTATCATTTCAGTAAACGTAGCATGACAAACAAAGTGCATAGGAGAATGTTTTCTCAAAAGGGAGAGACTGTCCTGGAGAGAAGGGTGTTTGCTTTTTGCTGTGGTGAAACTCTTGATGCAGAGACCCACCCAAGATACACATGTCTGCATTACCCATGAAGCAGTGATGTTGAAATTAACCTGTGTTGTTTATAAAATGTGAAAGAAAGCAGAAGTTTGCAAGTGTGTAACATCTTTCCTGGGTGTGACACACCTGTGTCCCAGTTAGAACTTTATGGCATCAACCTCTTAATTACTGGCACTGAGCTCCACTAACCCTTTTAGTTCTCTGGAGGGGGGAACATTATTGAAAAGCTCTCCCTTATTTTAAATAAATGTGATTAAATCTTATGTGAGTTGTTGATTGTAATTTTAAAAGAGGGAAATTGTGATGGGGGAGGAGGGTTAAAAGTATCAAACTGCCAGATGTCTCTCTGGAATTCCAAAATAATCAAGGAATATTTTCCTGACACCTTTTTTCTCACCTTTGGAAGAGCCAATGTTGGATAATCCCTTACAAAATACTCAAGAATGAAACAAGTGTTGTGTGTACTAAGCTACATTACTTTTACCCTAAGTGTAGGGATGACTCATGACCCAACCTTGAATATGCTAACGGGTGTCTAAGGCATGGATGTGCTCAGTCCTCAAAACGGGTGGAAAGTATTAAAACTGCAGGAAATACAGTGGGGACAATGTTACAGACAGCCTGTGCTTTTTTTTTTTAAACTTCAGTTGGCTATTTTTCTGTAATCACATTAGAGTACTGATTAATAGGTTTTATCTTTTATAATTCTGGAGAAAAAGACATGTTAGTTTTCTAATTTTTCTTAATAACAAATACATGTATTTTAGTAGCTCCATTGCATTAGAATAATGGTCTAACCACCAGTGACTTGTGAAATCTACCTTCTCCAGGCCCTTTGGGTTGAGCACTTTCTGTCTTTACCAAGTTCTGGGTCTAGAAGAAAAGGCCATCCTGTAAGATGGCAGAATGTTTTCAAGTTACAATTGGTTCTTTTCAAACTTACTTTTTGTTCCAAAAGAAAAGTATGGTATAAAATGTTAACAAGAAACTCGAACTCAGAGTGCTGATGTTGGATCAGTCATCCAGAGTTTATGACTAATTTTATCCCTTAGCCTCTTGGGCGTTGCTGAGCTTGAGTGTTGTTGTGGTTTCCCCAGCTGAACTGAGTTCTCGTAGTTTATTTAACTTTCTTTCTTTCTTTCTTTCCTTTCTTTCTTTCTTTCCTTCTTTCTTTCTTTCTTTCTTTCTTTCTTTCTTTCTTTCTTTCTTTCTTTCTTTCTTTCTTTCTTTCTTTCTTTCTTTCTTTCTCTCTCTCTCTCTCTCTCTCTCTCTCTCTCTCTCTCTCTCTCTCTCTTTTAACCTTTTCTTCTTTTTTAAGTAACTGAATCATTTTTTTCCACAGGATACTGTGTGCATGCATACCTGGGAAAACATGTCTGTTGCCCTAGATTTGAAAATGTAATCCTTTGTAAAGACAGTTACTTCATAGTCGTTTTTACCCTGCTTTTAACGGAAGGTCAAGCATCCTTGTCTCAGAAGCGCAGAGTTTATGTTTACTTGCGATCACTTCATAGTGTGCACATCTTTGCTGACATCATTCTAATTGATATGTAGCAATCTCTGCAATACGTGGACATTTGGAGCATAATGTTAAACACGTGATATTTGTGAAGTCTGTTACACTAGGTGGCTTGACTAAGTTTTTTAATTGTATGTGGATTTTATTTTTTTTAAACCACATTTGCCTTTATGCTAGACTATAAAAACTCTTCATAATGCATAAGACATGTTTTTCCCTATATATGTCAAACCTTTCCTAACATTTGTGTTTGTATTTACATGTTGTCAGTTTGTGATGTTTAAACCAGAATTTGGTTAAAAGTATATATAGATATAATATATGTGAAATAGTTTGGTGTTTATCTTATACACGTCGACAAGAATTGTAAATGGGTTTTCCTGGGCTGAAGTGCCCCTCACCAGAGTCCAGTATGACGCACTACTACTCTGTTTCCTGACAGGTGGATTATGTGTCGCCTGTAACCTCTATATTGTAAACCACATTCTAGACAACTCTTGACAAATTTTATGTTTTGAGTATGTATTTCTGTATGTGATTTTTGTCTTGAAAGTAGTAAAGCCATAGACATGTGCAAAGGAAATTATCAAATGTATAAATATCAAGTATGTAATGTAAAAATCTACTGTGTATGTAACAATGGTTTTGCGAGCCTGGACCTTTCAGGGAATTAATTCCAGAAATTTCAAACAAAAATTTTAGTGAGTGGATATACATTGGATAAATACAAAGGATATCAATAAACTTAGTTATGGCACTTGGGCCTTCTTGGCATGGCTTGTGTTTCCTGTGTGGGATTGAAATTCTTGACTACATATTTTCCAAAAATCTTTAAAAATAAACTTTTTCTTTATTATGAGCATGTGTTTTCTCTCACTGTTTGTGTTACTGCCTCATTCTGTACCATGCTAGTACACTTAGGGAAGACATTGTTATTTTTTTTTGAAGATTTATTTATTTGAGAGAGAGCGCAAGCCCGCGCTTAAGTGCGGGGGCGGGGGAGGGCAGACGGAGAGAGAGAGAATCCCTCAGGCTCTGTGCCGAGCACGGAGCCCGATGCGGGGCTTGATCCCACAACCATGAGATCACGACCTGAGCCAAAACCAAGAGTCGGACGCTCAACCGACTGTGTCACCCAGTCAACATTATTTTTAACTAAACACACTTAGTTTGAATGGCAAAACAGAAAAGTGGTAGCTCGGACTCCATGAGAGAATACATGTCTGAAGGGTATTTATGGTTAGTTTTTGGGCACAATTTTCCCATTTCACGAAAAGGTTAAAAGATAATTGGGTAACGGTAACATATCTTTCATGGCAGCAAGGGATGAGGGTTAGGGTGATGGTGAGAATTTAGGTTTAGGGTTGGGTTTGGGGGGGGTCAGGGACCAGGTACTAGGGCCATGCTTTAGGATTGGGGCCTAGGGGTGCCTGAGTGACTCGGTTAAGTGGCTGCCTTCGGCTCAGGTCATGATCCCGGGGTTATGAGATTGAGCCTGGCGTCGGGCTCCCTACTCAGCGGAGAGCCTGCTTCTCCCTCTTCTTCTGCCTGCCGCTCTGCCTACTTGTGCTCTCTATCTCTCTGTCAAGGAAATAAATAAAACCTTAAAAAAAAAAAAGGATTGGGGCCTTGGCTCAGGGTCAGAATCTAGGGCCAGGGTGAGGGCTAGAGATCAGAAGTAAGGGCCCAGGGTTTAGGGAGAAAGTTAGGGGTAGTGTTTGGGATCAGACTGGTTGCTGGTTGTTTTAGCCCATCTGGACTGCTAAGGCAAAACTATTGCATTTTGGGTGGCTTACAAACAGAAAATTTCTCATAGTTGCTGAGGCTGGAAGTCTGAGAGGGTGCTGACATGATCGGGTGAGGGCCCTCTTTGTAGTGGCACGCTCCTCATATTTTCACATGTAGGGAATGGCTTAGGGTCTTTTATAGGGGGAGTAATCCCATTCACAAGCTAATCACCTCCCAAAGGCATCCTGGTCTAACACCATCACATCCGGCATTAGGATTCCAACATGTGGATTTGGGGGGAAACAAACATTCAGACCATAGCACTGGGCCTTTTTTATATTTTACTTCTTCCATGGGCTCTATTTCAATTGCAATTTACAAATTATAGCACTGAATAATCAGAACCCTGAATTTCAGGAATTCACTGGATGTGCCCTGAGGGGCTAAACTGTGAGTGGGGTGTGTCCTGTGCTGCAGCCTAGTGGACAGTAGGGTACTCTCTACCCTGGCTCTCTGACCTGAGGGAGAGCATGCATATCCTGGCCTCAGAGTCAGGCCCACACCTCGATGAGGATATGAGTGGGCTTGAGGATACCCCTGCAGCTTTGGGACAATTTGGGGCAGTGAGGACAAAGCTAGGAGATGGCTTCTGTTGGCATCCCCAATGAACTTGAGTTTAGAACAGCCCTCCCCAGTGTCCTCCTAAAACCTAATAAAAGCTGAGCTTCACTTTTTCTCTTCAAATGTTCCTGTGGTTTGCCATAGCTCACTTGTCCCAGATTGTAATTCTTCCGCTATTCCCAAATAAACTCATTTTATTGCTAACGTAACTGGTATTTTACCTTTACACTGATAGTTTTTATGTGGAACTGTCTGTATGCATATTAAGCTAAAGAGTTTATACAGGTGTCTCTAATCTGATCCATTGTCACATAGATACCGTAATCTCCCTTTGCTCATCCGGAACTTACCTCTCTAACAGTGATGAACTGGGCTCCTACCATTTATCATTTACTTAATTCATTGCTCCATTTCATATTACAGACATAATTGCTTCAGCACCATTGGCTACTACCATCATGGGAAAGAACTTTATAAAATAGAGTCCACTGTTTATATGACTTCAGTCTACATGTTCCATTCATTTCCGAACCTGGTGCCCCACCACCTGCAGTGAGTTTTTCCATACATTTCTACAGTTAGATTATTTGTCACATTCTGCATTCCATCCTGTGACAATCCCACATCCTAAATAATTCAATTTGAATAATTATGATGTACTCCTCAGGCTAAAAAAAATCTCTGAGTTTTGACAAATGCATGGTGGCAGGTATTCATCACTAAAATATCATATGGAATACCTCAAACCCTAACCCCATGATCCGTTTATCATCTCTGTAGTTTTGCCTTTTCCAGAATGTCCTATAAATAGCTCCATATAGTGTGTAGTCTCTTCAGACTGGATTCTTTTACTTAGCAAGATACGTGTAAGATTCATCCATTTCTTTGTAGGGGTTGATGTTTCATTCCTTTCTACTGCTGAATAGTATTGCATTGCATATATAGGTGACTAAAAATAATTTTTCCTTTACTCTTCTAGGTTTTTGGCTGAGACCACTTCTAAAAATGAAAGATGAACAGGAGAAAAACGAAGTTTAATAACATGTATACAACTTGTGTACATGGGAGATACTCAGGAAAACTGATTAGCTCCCTGAAATGGCCCAAGTAATCACTTTAAATACCATCTTCAGCTAACGACAAAGGTTTTGGGTGGTGAGAAGGCCAGTTAAGGGAGGTTATCAGACCAAGGACAGCATATAAGGATAAGGTTGTTGTGCAGGTTTAAGTTCAGGCCTTGTCCACTAATAAGAGTTTCTTGAGATTTAGTCATCCTTCCATTTCTGGTGCAGAGAGGGAGATACCCTTACAGATGGAGATTTCTTTTATAAATGTAAATTTTGCTTAGTACAGGACAACTTCTACTCGGTTTTCAGAGTCTCCTTTGCTGTTTCTTTTTCTTTCTTTCTCTTTCTTTCTTTTTCTTTCTTTTTCTTTCTTTTTCTTTCTTTTTCTTTCTTTTTCTTTCTTTCTTTCTTTCTTTCTTTCTTTCTTTCTTTCTTTCTTTCT